TTTGTAGTGTGTGTCACAACCTATCAGCATCCGACTGTAACTGAAATATCAGTTTTTGGTGGCCTGACCCAAGGATACCATACACAGATGAAGGGGTGATTTTAACCATTAAGGTGCCATTTCTGGGGGTTTAGGGTGAATGGATTATGGCTGTAACAGTTCTGCTCAGGACTCTTGTCCAGGGGCAGACTGAGAACTCATGGGGCCCCCGGGCAATAGGGGATCATGGAGCCCCTGGGTCCTTGCCCAAACTCAAAAAAGCCTATGAAAAAGGTACCAGGGGCATCTCATGGGGCCCCCTACTGACCCCGGGCCCTCAGGCAGTGCCCGAGTTTCCAAATTGTCAGTCCGCCCCTGCTCTTGTCATACCGTTTCATAAATGTTTCCATTCCCCCTCAATGGCTGGTTCACAGCAGCTAAATCTGGCCACATAAATTACAATCTGATTGTACAATCTTCTTTACAATATTGATATACATATTGATTGGACCGTTTAGGTAGGTTTTCATATTACATGTCTATATAATCAACCTAAAGCGTATGTAAACCCAGCCCTGCCTAGTTCACTTCTAGGAACTACAGCCATCATGTTATGAAGCTAAGTGTGGCGGAGGTGTTCTGTAGTCCCAGTAGCCTTCATCTCCTACAGTGACAACGTTCCATATGACAGTAGTTTGTGTAATACAAGTGACCAGCTGCAGGATCTTTACATTATAAAAAAAAAATTCATCATTTCAGACAGTAATGCATTTTAAAATGGAGTGTGTGTCCGCGTAACAGATGCTGGCTATCATCAGAGATGAACACAGTTTAAAGCCAAACTCCAGGCAGATATGACCAAGTGGATGCAACTAGTGCGAGTACCTGCTTCTGTCTTGGTCAGGGGCGGACTGACAACTCATGGGGCCCCTGGGCAATAGGGGATCATGGGGCCCCTGTGTCCTTGCCCAAACTCAAAAAAGCCTATGAAAAAAGGTACCAGGGGCATCTCATGGGGCCCCTTCTGACCCCGGGCCCTCGGGCAGTGCCCGAGTTTCCAAATGTTCAGTCCGACCCTGGTCTTGGTATCAGCTTCCTGCATTGCTCTGTACAGCAGCATTCACACTTTGGGAGGTAGGGCCAGAGCTAGGGGGTCAACCAGGCTCTACTGCAGCTGGAGGAGAGGGCGGAGTAATAACTGTGCTGCTACTACATTGTCAATCAACAAGCTGGGGGGAGGGCCTGTCTCTGACCAAACTGTGCTGTACAACCGCAATGGAGGCCCAATCCCCCAACTGGCAAAAAGTGCCTGGATCACAGTGCTGGCACCACAGAATGAGAAATCCTACAGCAGATCACAGTTCCCATGTGTATGTCTTACGTGTATTAGCCGCTTTGCTTGGAGTTCAGCTTTAATGAAACACTAAATATTAGATAAACAGTTACAAAATACAAAGTAACAAAAAGTAACCAATTCTTAAAAAAAAAAAAAAAAAAAAAAAGTAACAATTCTACTTGGGTTGTCCGTTTAGTAAACAATGAAACATATTTAAAAACTGTAATGTTACAGGATCAGCATATTATGCTTAAAAAAAAAGTTAAAGTGAAACTTGCACTAAAATGCCCCCACCCCCGTTGCAAAATGCCATATTACAGAAAAAGAAAAACAAAAAAAAACACTTTCTGGTGGGATTCTGGAGGGCCTGCATCAGCCGGGAGTATGGCCTTTTTCAGACAGGCAGTAAACTTACCAGCCTCTGAAATGTGATCACCAGTGGATTGCTTTTCAGGGGACAGCATAGCAGCAACTGACAAGTGTTCAGGATGTGCTACTGCCAATTCTTCACACCTTTTTTTTTTTCAATTGCCAAACAGTAATTTAACATTACGGGACTTTGCTGCAACTGTGAGCCAAGCATTCGGCTTGCGGGTGCGGTGCAGTCCTGCTGGACCCAATGGAGTGCTGCCTGTCAAACGCTGTGGCCCACGGCGAAAAATGCTACCACATGTGTACAGCTCTGTCAGGTTGTAATGTTAGGATTCAGGTGGGTGGCAGGAGGGGCTGGAGTTTCTTTTTATGCCCCCTCTGCATTTTCTATTACGCTCCATGAACACTAAAGAGTTCCGTTAATGGCCATTGCCATGCATTGTTGCATGTTCTCACACGCGGTTTAGTGTATTTTGCAACAACAAATGTGAATAAGCCCTCAATGTTTTGTCAGCAGGGGGCGGGGAAGCCATATAAACAGACTTTACATTTTAGCGCAGGATCAGCTTTATCAGCACAAACAAGAAAAAAAAAAACACAAAGTTACAAACAGAACAAATCATCTGTAAATGGCAACTAATAAATTAAAGTTAAGAAAAAAAAAGAAATCCTGCTGCTAACTCCATGCTACGCCATTAGTGGTCATACTGCTCTTGTTAAACTACATTTCGCATAAAGCCCAGCCGAGGCCAAGGGGCCGTCTTCTGATGCTTCGAAGGTAATTCCATCTTTTGCATTTGCCAAAGGAGGCCAGGACAGCGTTCATTTCTTGTTTTATCTAGGCCTGTACAGACTCTTGAATTATCCGCAGTATACTCCATATCCAGTTTAGCTTACTTCAATGGGGGGGGTCAATGGAAAGCTTGTATGGACACGGTGTGCACAGATCCAAATACAATTTAAATGCATTTCTTGTGGATACTTCAAGAGCACATACTGTACAAGCTAAAATTGTAGCTCAGGACAAAATTTGTATAATAAAACAAAACCACACAAATCCATTTCAGTACATCTCTGCAATACATGCACATTTCCCCATTTTTCTTTAAAAAACACTGTAAGTAGAGAAAAATCCTGACTGATCTGACAAAAACTCTAGGAGCTCCTGACTTCCTGTAGTGAGCTGACAACGCTGCCTCTGCTGCACTGAAATCCCAAACAGTGTTGTTAGCCCCACCCAGTTCTCCCTGCTGGACTACAACACTCCTCCTCTCCTCAACATAAAGGGGCGGTGTCCTTGCCCAAACTCAAAAAAGCCTATGAAAAAGGTACCAGGGGCATCTCATGGGGCCCCCTACTGACCCCGGGCCCTCGGGCAGTGCCCGAGTTTCCAAATGGTCAGTCCACCCCTGCATCAGTCACACTCATCAATAGCGGGATTACAGTTTGAAAATGAAAGGAGGCTGCAGAGACACAGAAGATAGTGTGTGACTATGAGGGACATTAGAGTGTAAGCTCCTCTGGTGCAGAGACTGGCGTGACTAGCTCAGTGTTCTCTGTACAACACTGCGGTATATGGCAGTGCCCGAGTTTCCAAATGGTCAGTCCGCCCCTGGGCGGAGTGCTCTAGTCACAAAATAAAAAAAAAAAGACCTGGGCGGGGCCAACAACACTGCCAGAGATTTCAGTGCAGCAGAGGCAGCGTTGTCAGGTCACTATAGGAAATTGTGAATGCACTGGATTTCTGGCAGATTAATTTTTGCCCAGACATACACCTTAACCCCTTCCCACCCCTTAAATAGATCTTAATGTAGAACTATAGGCATTTTTATTTTGGATGGACTAAGGGAGGGTGATAACCTGTCAGGTTTTTTTGCCATCTGTTTCCCATTGGGGAGATTTCCCTTCACTTCCTGTCTTATAGCCCAACCAGGAAGTGTTACCAGAACTATCTCCACCCTGGAAGAGTTTTTCTCTATTCCTGCTTCAGTGACAACCCAAAATTTGAAGTTTATTTCAACTTTCACTTTTGGTGATCATAGGCACCAGGACAAATAGAGAGGGTGGATTTTTTGAATGTGGGTACTGACAGGGGTTCTAATCCATGTCCACTCTATCAAAAACTAAAAAAAAACTGCCTTTAGTTATACTTTAATGGCAGGAAGTGGGATGGACTTCTCGGTCATGTGCAGTGGTCACATGATCAGGAACCCATTTCGCCATGTGCCAATCATAAGCTGAGTTCACGAATGGCCTGTGATACCGAGCGTAATCCGAGCATAGAAACCTGGGCCGTCATGGCTGCATATGTGCTACCCTCCCTGCCTCTGTAATTATGTGTTACACGGTCAGCAAGAGGTTAATTTTTACTTTAAAAGAGCAAAATTGGTATAAAAACTGATGATTGCATGGCCCATAATGACAACATTTCTGAAGGAGGTGCCGTTCATTCTATAAAAATTCAATCGTGAATCTCAACAGTCCCTTGAAAAAATTTTTAAGACTGCGCACATATATAGATACTGAAATAAATAAAATAAAACTATAGGAACTATGTAAATATTAAGTCAAAAATTAAATTAGTAACTAAATCATCATTAAAAAAAAAAATAAAAAAGATCTAGATGTTCTAATCCTGAACATACTGCATACAGAGTGGCCTGCAGTCCGGGAATCTCTATAGAGGAGATCAGATATTGACGATGGATTGGTAGTAGTAAATACAAAAATAACAAAGTAACATTTCTCGGAGTTCTGCGGGAATGAATTGTCAGAAGTTTTAAGTGCTAGAGAGATAAAATGAGAGATTATTTGCTTTTCTTCTTCATTGACTTTACAACAAAATAGAAAACTTTTACCAAAAACCCAACAAAATGTTTCATTGAGATCAACAGAGAGGACAGAGGGAGGGGGGGGCGAGGCGATGGATCCATGGCAGAAGAGGAAGTATCCAGTCTTTGGATCTGCGGTCGCAGCGTCCAGTGGTTTTTGTAGGCAAGTCCTGCAGAACCCGTTATGGGATTGGTCGGTCCATGTTTCAGGCTGTGGCTTTTTTCCCCCCTATATGAGGTAACTGGATTCTGAGCAAAAAGAGAAAAACTGAATCCAAAATGCGCCTCACCGTGCCGACAGGGGCACAGTGCCGGAGTCACTTGTTGGTCAAATGAAGAATTTGCCAGGGGGGGGAGGATAACTGCATCTGGAAAAAATTGCCCTCTTGGTGGTGAAGTTAAACATTTCTGTGAATATTTTCTCGATTCAGAAATACCGTTTTTTCTTGTGCGTGTTGGTGGAGACAGAGCTTGACTGCAGCTTAGGACTCTTGAGGTACAACCTCCAATACCTTCTGCAATACAGCAGTGCTGGAATCTATGGGAGAAAGGATGAAATAGGATTAATCAGGGCCTGTGGAGGAGACAAACCCACGTGAAACCTATGTATCCGTGACCCTCTAGTGCTGTACTACAAAACAGCTCCATCAGGCCACAAGTAACTGGAGGGGACACAAAATATACAAACTGAATCTAGCAACCTGATTCTCCATTATTACTGAGACCTAACTCAGCAGGGAACATATTGCACCTCGGCAGAGAGACCCCTGCTTCCACACAAAGAGCAATGTCCTTGTCTGCAACATGGTGGCAGGGGGTAGGCTTTTCTACTCAGGCTGTGGTTGCTTGAAAAAAAACAAAAAACAAAAACACAACCTGTAAAAGGCTCACTGTGGTTGGGGAGCAGTAAAAAGAAAGGAAAAAAAAAAAAAAAAGACAGCTAAACCACATGCTTATTGCCCCCTAACTGCTCTTCTTTAACCTGCAAAGGCAACACCTGGGGGTGTGTGTGTGCTGAGGTTGCAATATTTTGCTTTGCAGCAGGAATTATACCCCGTTGCATGCTGAAGACACTGCTGCCCACCGAATGCCATCCATTCAAGTAAACAGGACTGTGTGGAAGCGCAGCATTAAGGGGGTTAAAACAAGGGCATGAGGAGCCAACGCTTTGCTTCCTCAATGCCTGTCAAATGCCTCTGAAAAGCAATTCAAGCACAGATTGCTTTTCAGAGGCATGGCAGTCCTTGCTGCTGCTAGTGCAAACGAGCTCTTTGGGCAGGCAATGACATGCAATGACCCTTTTTTTTTTCTAATGGCATGCTACAACACATTTGCATTGTCCTTGTGCATCAGGGTGCCATTGCAATTTATGGGCTACCATCACATTGTGACATGCCGAATAGTGGACAAGACCCTTTTTGGTAAGGGGATACATTACCGTCCATTGCAACCCACTAAGCAGTTTGTATTGGTATATCATTCAGAACCAATGGCACTGCAAGACATGTAATGTGCATTGTGCTAACACACGCATTGCAGCAACATGGAACTGTAAATGGTCCCAGGAAGGTCATTTGGCCCACAATAACCAATCACAGTGCTTTATTTCTTTAAGCCATGGATGTAAAAGTTAGCTGGAGAAGGATTCATCATTATGGGTGGGCAACAGGAAATTTGCCTTAATATTTTCCATTCATCGGGCCCCAAGTACATCATGCTGTAAATGATTCTGTGTATTGTGGCAGCGGGTATACAGCAATGGCTCTGAACGCCCCGACACAAAAACCTCCGGAGACAGATATGTTGGTGGTGAACTCCCTCCGGGCTGGTACAGGCAGGTTCTTTGTTTTATTAAAGCATTTTATTGCTGCAAGTTATATATTGCTGTATGTACTTGTCAAATAATCTCAGGAGTAATTTTATATAAGATGCTGCTTATATTTTGTAAGCCCCCCCCCCCCCCCAAAAAAAAAAAAAATCAACATACTAATGACATTTTTAAATAAAACCTTTCCATTTTCATTACATTCCTTATTTAGTTTAAATGGGTTTCTGTGCTTCTCTATGCAATGCAGCCAGATCATGGCAGGTGGGAGGGGCTGGGAGGGTGCTGTACATAGCTTCCTGAAAACACCACAGCACCCTGCCTCATTACTTCACTTGAGCCCTCATTCCTGATGCAAGCAGTGGGCTGGCTCTTGGGAGAAGTTATGCAAATATCACAATCCCTTGAAGGGTAGGTGCCATTCTGGTGGAGTGGGCATTCCTAGGCAGGCAGTATTTTTATAGGTAATGCCTCATGTTGTGCTGAGCCTCCATGGTTAAAAAAAAAGTTGAAATCAATGAAAGGAGCGGGCCAGAGGCAGTCACGTTGGGGAGGAAAGAGCTAGATGATGCTGGATGTCCTCCAGCTGGGAGATGAAGTGGGCTATGACTTGCTGCAGTTTCTAATGCACATTGTGTGATGTTCTGGTTAGGGCTCATTCAGCCCGCACACTAAAAAATGGCCCATTTTAGAGTGTGGGCTGGTGTCCGCCATGTAAAAGCTGTGAGGGGCGGTGCCTTGCCTTGCTTTGTGTTGTTGCAATGCAACTCACTGTTCACCTTTTCCACTTTTTTCCCCAATTAAAAAAGATGAAATTTAATTCTCTTCTATGCACCCCATAAGGTGAGATAATGCAGTACAAAAATGCTGCATGACCAGATTCGCTCCATCCCAGAGAGCTGACAAATGTTTGGTACATTCTATGGATAAATATGTAATATCATTATCAGGACTACTGATCCCATCACCCCAAGAGATACGTACATATACTCTGCTGGATCCACGACGGCTTATTCTGCCACCAGACCCCAAAATAATACACAGGGACCCCCGATAAGATGATGATGAAGCCGATCCCGCATTCCTTCGGCGTCATATAGAACGACACAACAATCAGGAATATACAGGCCAAGATGAAGAAGATCGGGAGAGTCACATTAACCTGCAAGAGAGCAGAGACAGCAATATATCTTATATCTGAAGAGCGATGATGTCACTCCTGTTTAATATATCTTATATCTGAAGAGCGGTGATGTCACTCCTGTATAATATATCTTATATCTGGAGAGCGGTGATGTCACTCCTGTATAATATATCTTATATCTGGAGAGCGGTGATGTCACTCCTGTATAATATATCTTATATCTGGAGAGCGGTGATGTCACTCCTGTATAATATATCTTATATTATATAGGAGTGACATCACCACACTCTAGATATGTTATACAGGAGTGACGTCATCGCTCTCCAAATATAACATATCTAGAGAGCGGTGATGTCACTCTTGTATATCTTATATCTGGAGAGCGGTGATGTCACTCCTGTATAATATATCTTATATCTGGAGAGCGGTGATGTCACTCCTGTATAATATATCTTATATCTAGAGAGTGGTGATGTCACTCCTGTATAGTGTATCTTATATCTAGAGAGCGGTGACGTCACTCCTGTATAATATATCTTATATATGGAGAGCGGTGACGTCACTCCTGTATAATATATCTTATATCTGGAGAGCGGTGATGTCACTCCTGTATATCTTATATCTGGAGAGCGGTGATGTCACTCCTGTATAACAGATCTTATATCTGGAGAGCGGTGATGTCACTCCTGTACAATATATCTTATATCTGGAGAGCGGTGATGTCACTCCTGTATAATATATCTTATATCTGGAGAGCGGTGATGTCACTCCTGTATAATATATCTTATATCCGGAAAGAGCGGTGATGTCACTCCTGTATAATATATCTTAGATCTGGAGAGCGGTGATGTCACTCCTGTATAATATATCTTATATCTGGAGAGCTGTGATGTCACTCCTGTATAATATATCTTATATCTGGAGAGCGGTAACGTCACTCCTGTATAATATATCTTATATCTGGGGAGCAATGATGTCACTCCTGTATAATATATCTCATATCTGGAGAGCGGTGATGTCACTCCTGTATAATATATCATATATCTGGAGAGCGGTGATGTCACTCCTGTATAATATATCTTATATCTAGAGAGCGATGATGTCACTCCTGTACAATAGATCTCATATCTAGAGTGCGGTGATGTCACTCCCTATAATATATCTTATATCTGGAGAGCGGTGATGTCACTCCTGTATAATATATCTTATATCCGGAGAGCGGTGATGTCACTCCTGTATAATATATCATATATCTGGAGAGTGGTGATGTCACTCCTGTATATCTTATATCTGGAGAGCGGTGATGTCACTCCTGTATAATAGATCTTATATCTGGAGAGGGATGATGTCACTCCTGTATAATATATCTGCAGAGCAATTATGTCACTACTGTATAATAGATCTTATACAGGAGTGACATCACCACTCTAGATATGTTATACAGGAGTGACATCATTGCTCTCCAAATAGAACATACCTAGAGAGCGGTGATGTCACTCCTGTATAATAGATCTTATATCTGGAGAGCGGTGATGTCACTCCTGTATAATATATCTTATATCTGGAGAACGGTGATGTCACTCCTGTATGATATATCTTATATTTGGAGATGTTATTCCTGTATAATATATCTTATATCTGGAGAGCGGTGATGTCACTCCTGTATAATATATCTCATATCTGGAGAGCGGTGATGTCACTCCTGTATAATATATCTGATATCTGGAGAGCGGTGATGTCACTCCTGTATAATAGATCTTATATTTGGAGATGTCATTCCTGTATAACATAACGTATATCTGCAGAGCGGTGATGTCTCTACTACACGCATTTTCTTCCAATGCATCAGCCTGCAGATATCTACCTATAACCTCAGGCCATGTATGTACACTATTCTGCCGCTTCTTCTCCAGATCTCCGGGCCCCATGCATATGCGAACCACACCTCACCGCAGCAGGTGAACGTCCTCAGGAAGCCTGACAATAGAGGTTCTGGGATCAGGGGACTACACCACCAATAAAAAAGGGCCGTGGTGTCTAAAGAAAGCCACAACAAAATCACTGACTCTGCAGGAATAGGGGCCCCTGACACCGTCCCTGGCCAAGATCACACAGTATGAAGGATGCCTGAATGGAGCAGCAACTGTTTGTATTTCCAGCAATTCTCTCTCACCTACAACACCAAGGTCAGTGCTCCCTGTCGGCCCGCTCTTTGTGAACCCGCTGCACTCGGCGGGCCACTAAAAGAGTCCCCTTAAATAGTCAGAGATAAACAAATTCTAAATGGTTTTCCTGCAGCTTGGGAAGCCCTGTGATCTGCCATTATTAGAAACTTCAAATGAACTTATTGTGTTCTTCTTCCTGCTAACCTATTTCTGCTCTCGTATCTTCAAATGCAGAAATCGGATGTGTTCCCTGTAAAGCTGCTACAGAAAAAATTAAAAATCACCTATTAAGGTGGAACAGCAGCCATTTATTTTCTTTTTAAACAAAGATGGGAAAGGGTCTGATCTGTTAGGTCTTTATAGCTGCCGGTCTTTATAGCTGCCTGTATTCCTGGTGGGAAATTTCCCCTTGTGTTCTTATCTTGTTGAAACTTACGCACTGTAGCTCTGACATAGGCTCAGTGTTCTCTATACAGCACTGCAGTATGTCAAATCAGTCTCTGCACCAGAGGAGCTTACACTCTAATGTCTCCCCACAGTCACACTATTATTATACATTTATATAGCTCTAACATATACCGCAGTGCTGTACAGAGAACACTGAGCCAGTCACATCAGCCTCTGTACCAGAGGAGCTTACACTCTAATGTCCCTCCACAGTCACACACTATTATTATACATTTATATAGCTCTAACATATACCGCAGTGCTGTACAGAGAACACTGAGCCAGTCCCATCAGTCTCTGTACTAGATGAGCTTACACGCTAATGTACCCTCCCCCACAGTCACACTCATACAATTATATAGCTCTGACATACTCCAGTGCTGTACAAAAACACTGAACCAGTCACATCAGTTTTTGTACCAGAAGAGCTTACACTCTAATGTCCCCCCTACAGTCACACTATTATACATTTATTTAGCTCTGACATATACCATAGTGCTGTACAGAGAACAGTGAGCCAGTCACAGTTTCTGAACACTCTAATATCCCTGACAAATTCAAACACAGAATTCTGGGTCTGTAAGGCAAGAGTGACAACCACCAAGTCATAGCTCTTCCTCTATCAGTCTTAGTATGTGTGTCTCTACAATCTGCCATCAACTGAAACACACCAACATTCAGCATACTGTGGAAACTACCTAAAAAAAAAAAAGGCAGTCTAAGTTGAAAGGATTGGTCACCTGTATAGCCCTGTGGTCTACCTGTCTACTTGCAGTTGATCTCACTACTGACTTACCATGCCGTGTCCTGCACTGCCTTGGTGGAGGCAGTCATCTTGGCAGGGGAGTGGGGCTTTCCTTCCGTATTCCAGAGATGCTCCCTGATGGCTGTAGGCATAATGCCTAAAAGCAGGAGGGGTGAAGGAAGGACAGATCCACAGAATGCATGAAGTAGAAGCAGGGAGACCCTTGCATTGCAGTTGCACAGGTACAGCTTCCTCTCCAGCAAGGAGAACCGTGAGCAGTACAGCAGTGACATCACCAAACCACACTCTTTCAAATCTTCTGGAGACTAACAGTCATAGGTAGCAGTGTCCTATATGATCTCACACTGCAGAAATCTGGCTATGAGGCTACAGAACAGGGGTGCCTACACACAGGAAGTGTGCTGCTATTTTTAAAGAGGAATCCAAGAGCTATATTTTTATAGTTACTGCTTAGATGTTCCCTATAACATAGCAAATCTCTTGGTCCTGGACAAATTTCTTAAACAGGCTGTTCTCTTCCAGCCTTCCAGTATCTCCTTTGAAATCTGTTTTATTGCCATGCAGCAGAGCGGGCATTAACTGGTTTGATCGCGTCTCCACGCAGCAGATAAAAGCCACCCTAGGGCTGATATTATTGTCTGGGCGAAGAGCAAGAATTCCAAACACTTATTGTGATTTAATGGCCTGGCTTAATCTTTTATAGGTATAATTGTATATAAGCCCTCAAGCCTTGACAAGCCAGACAGGATGCCTAATATGATGATACCTCGACTCCTGCGGCTGATCTCCCATTATAGGGCATGTGCTTAGAGTGACGGTTGATGGATCACATGCCCCGGTCCCTGCTCCTCTACAACTCTTTTGTTAAATATATTTTTTTTAGATATTATTTATAACAAATATATGATTTTTACATTCAATTTTCATATATCTTAATTGTATTATATAAATATATTTTTATTATTAAAGTGTTACTAAACCCAGGACCCCAGATTTACTATATCTAGACTCCCACAGTACACGGAACATGAAAATGCAATTATATCAGTAAATATAAACCGCTAAATACCTTTTCTCATCAGCAGTTAGAGCAGTCTTGTGACTTCAGCCGAGCAGTGGTTAAAGCTTGTAGGAGGAGTTTTAATTCTGTTCTAAGAGGATGCAAAACCCCTGACCTCTGTCTGGACAGTGCTGATTGGTCCCGTGCTAATCACATGCGCTGTCCCAAAAATAAAAAAAAACAAAAAACCCTCTCTAGCAACAGACACTAAATTGAGCATGTGCATGTGACTACGGGTTCAGTCTGTCTGATCAGTGGACATTTGAACAATGGGAGGGGCAGAGAAGACAGGATCAAACGGCCTTTTTACACAATGTGGATGATTAACCCCTTAGGTTCCACAGTGAGTAAAACAAGCATGCTTTACTGCATATACAGACTGATTGTACGGTTATGGGTTTAGTAACACTTTAATTATAATATTTAAACTGTATTAAGTATTTCTTTACTCTGCTCCTACAATGAGCTGTACCGTTAATCAGCATGAATTTACACATACTGCTTTATCATTTTCTTGTACTTTTACAGCCCTGAAGAAAGGGGTGTTCTCCCCTGAAGCACATTGTTGCCCCTTTTACAAAGCCTTTTAGGTGATCTTACTTTGGAATTACTTTGTATCTATTAACTCATTACTCGGCTCTTCAGTCTCAGATTCATATGGTCTTATTGTCATGACAGGTCCTCTTTTATTATAGTCCTGTTCTATGGCTGGTCACTCTTTTCTTACCTTGATTGGTCTCTCCAATTCCGGTTTCTTGTACCGGAGCCACATCATGCCGATGATCGCCAAAGCTACGCACAGCCAGTTGAAGAAGCTGAAGAAATTGATGACTGAGAAAATGTCGTTGGAAAAGGCGTAGAGGAGCGTCATAGCACACTGGGAGGGAGAATCAGGTGGGACATATAATGTTAGTAAGTTGTAAAAAAAGAAAAAAAAAAAAAAGAAAAATGTACAGTTTTAACCATGTTATTTAGCTGTAAAGTGGGACTTTAAACCTGTCAAAGGATTTGTATATCTGTCCATCCGGTTCTGAGATTTACCCAGCTATGTCAAACACAGCAGAGCAGGGCAGAAGACCTGATTTTTATTCTTCTGTAAGGTAAGTAAACATACAGACAGGGGCGGACTGACAACTCATGGGGCCCCCGGGCAATAGGGGATCATGGGGCCCCTGTGTCCTTGCCCACATTCAAAGCACACCCAAAAAAGCCTATATAAAGTGCCAAGGGCATCTCATGGGGCCCACTACTGACCCCGGGCCCTCGGGCACTGCCCGAGTGCTCAAATGGTCAGTCCGCCCCTGAATACAGATATTGTCCCTCCTCCAGCCAGTGAAAACAACGCAGCAGATTGCTGAGCTCATGCGTCTGTCACTCTGCTCTCCACTCATATCAGCATTCCCCTTGTTAGCACATTAGCACTGCAGCACAACTGGCCTGCCTCGCCGCTGGCTATCCCCGCTTCAGTTGATCTTGAATACGGCTGCCAGACTCATTCACCTTACTAACCGCTCCGTTTCCGCCACCCCCCTCTACCAATCCCTCCACTGGCTTCCGATTGCGCAACGGATCAAATTCAAAATGCTAACACTGACGTACAAAGCTGTCCACCATACTGCCCCAAACTACATCACCGACCTAATATCCAAGTACCGCCCAACACGCACACTCCGCTCCTCACAAGACCTCCTTCTCTCTAGTTCCCTGGTCTCCTCCTCCCATGCCCGCCTCCAGGACTTCTCCAGGGTGTCACCCATCCTCTGGAACTCCCTGCCCCAACCCATCAGATTATCACCTACTCTCCTCTCCTTTAGGCGCACCCTGAAAACCCATCTCTTCAGGGAAGCCTACCCCACCCCCTGCTAACTTGCCGACCTCCTCCACTCTTCCTACCACCCCATCCTCCACAGCTATCTCCTCCTGTACCACTATCCCCTCCCTCCTAGATTGTAAGCTCCAAAGAGCAGGACCCTCGATCCCCTCATGTTTTGCATTGTATTGGTATTGTTCTGTCACATGTTCTGACCCCCTTTGTAATGTACAGCGCTGAGCGAACTATTGGCGCTTTATAAATACTGTATAATAATAATAATAATAACTGATGGGCTTCACCAAGACTAAAAATCTCTTCAAGGATGCAAACCGTGATAAAAACCTGACAGGGATCTAACCTCGTTCCATTTAAAACTAAAAATGTTATATACAGATATGTAGATCATTTTAGTTCTTTGTTTACTTGCTCCGTCTTGCACTAAGCAGCACAAAGGTTTCCAATAACTGTGTGATGTCACATGGTGCCAGTCTTGTGCTCAGACATGGGATGTCCTCACACTGACCACAACTTTTTTTTTCTTTTTTTTTTTTTTTTAATTTTAAAGTGAACTTGCATTCTTATTCAGAGAAAGAAATGAGCTCCCCCAATCAGGATCACTTAAAGCTTAACTCCAGGCAAAACATATAGTTTATATATTTAAATATATAAATCCACTTGGTGGGCACCAGATACCTTTGTAAAACCCAGATATTACTATTTGAATATAGCAGTGACATCATCACTGTCTTGTACAGTCTGTGCAGGGGGCAGAGCTGTGGGAGGGGCCCAGCAGGCTCCACGCACTACAGGCTGCCTGCAGAAAACTACAGCAGGGGCGGAGACAAGACCAGTCACCCTGCACAAGGAGAGAGAGCAGCAGTGAGAGGTCTTTATTACAGGAAGCTCCTTGCACAGAAGCAATGTTTCACACCGGATTACTGCACAGTTCTGGAAGAAATATACAAACCACACCAAGATTCAAGAGAAGAAAAACACATGACTTTTGTATTTAGATATTTACTTATGCTGGAGTTCTGCTTTAGGCTGAGTTCACACTTATGCAGTGCGGTATATCGCATGTGATTCACACAGGAACCGCACCGCATTCCTGTGCAAATCACATGCAAATTGTGTGCAGTGCAATCGGAATATTTTGTATGGCTCAAATCGCACCACATCCGCACCAATAAGGTACAGAACCCTTTTTTGGTCCACACTAGAATCCGATCACATGTGTATTCACACCTATGATCCGATTCTGCACAACGCACCGCGTTTTGCGGACCGATTTTGGGTGTGTTGACATACACACGCACAACGGTTTCGCATGAACAGGGTGCAATTGTGATGTGGTGTGGAATTCGCACAGAAACCGGTGTGAGTTCCGCACCGCATCAGTGTGAACCTGGGCTCAAAAATGAACTCCAGATATGTATATTCCACAGTATGTAACCATCCATCCCTTCCTACGGACAGGACCTCCTCACAACTCGATCCTCGGATAGATTGATGGAAATATACCTGTGGAATCATGCAGATGGTACACCATAGCAAGCTGACCGTCTAGCAGAGCCATGATCCCTGAGAAAGGAGGGTACATAATGGTGTTGATTTTACAGTTACATCTCCTCCTGTCTGTCTGTCTGTCAAATGCCCTGTGAAAAGTGATCCTCTATAGATACCTTTTCAGAGGGATAGCAAGTGTGGCACATGTGAACAAGCCCTAAAACTGACAAATCCCTTCAACCTGACCCTATAAAATCCACATAAAACTGAACTCACTGTGAAGATGAGAGATGGCACAGGGGTCAGCAGTCGCGGATGGATCATCGCCAGGAGAGATGGTAGGTGACCTTCTCTGGCTCCCACGAAGAACAGTCTGGGGAAAAGAGTCGAGAAATAACATCTGACACCATGATCAAGAATGGTTTCGTTTTTTTATTTGTTTAATGTAAATCTGTAAGATATTTCATTCATGATTAGTTCCCGAGAAGTTGACTCTTTATGATATAATTCAATTGCCACAAATATCCATATTCAGTTACCTATTTCCGTAGAAACACTTGCCTGAATTTCAGCTGAGAGTCCGCCCTGCAAAGTCTATTTTATGAGATCCCTTCCATATTCCTCCTTTCTATCAGTCTCTCTTCTCCCGTCTCATTCTCCTTATCCTGGCTGACTCTCAATCCATTAAAACGGAACTCCAGGATTTTTACCCTACTACCTGTCTATATGTTGATGCACCCCCTGGGGGAAGGGGGGATGTAAATGACAGTTTTGGCTCACAAGAAATGGACAGAATGACAGTCATTCTTCCCTGAAGCAGAAGGTAGACTAGGAAGTCGGGGACAGCTCTGGAACATAAAAGGGGTACATTAAGTGGAAATTGGAGGGGGTTTAATTACAGGTACTCATAGCGCCATCAATTTAATTTACATACAGTATATTGTACATTCACTTCAGTTCCGAACCTTCAAGCAGCATACAATCTAAGGTCCCTAACCCGCATTTATACATGTTAAAGCCAATTTAGAGAGGAGCCAGTTAACCTACCAGCATGTCTTTGGAGTGTGGGAGGAAACTGGAGCACCCGGAGGAAACCCAAGCAGGCACAGGGAGAACATACAAACTCCAGGTAGGCAGTGTCACGGTTGGGAAGCGAACCGACTACTGCTAACCACTCATACATCAGCAGTCTTCAATTAACTGAGATTGAGCTCTGCGGTCACTTTTGCAGTTTTTTTATTCCAGGTCAATCCTGCACAATGTCCTTTTTGTCTTTCAGTCAGTTGACCAAGTCGATCGCACTTATGCTTTTTCCCAGGAACTGAATATGCCATCATAACCTTTAATCCTGTACCTCGTGGCACAGCAAAATAAATTGGCAATTTCAGCCACAGAGGCACCAGCTACGCGGCACCAACAATTTGCCCTTTTTGATGCTCAGTAAGCTCTGACATGACCCCGTATTACTAGCAAAGCGCGTAGTGAATGAGGTAGGTGAAGCTTCCCACCTGTTAGCTAGGTGTCTCATCACACAGTGGAAGCTTAAGAGTGTTACATCACTTCTCTATCACAGCACACATCGGGCAAGTGACATGATTCCTCAGCGGCAAAGTAGATAATGGAGATCATCCATCTCCAAAACCACAACCTGCAGCACATTGTATGTTTAACCACTTGCCGTCCGCCTGCTGTTTATAAACGGCAGGACGGTGGTACTCCAGGGGCGGGTTGCCGTTCATAAATGGCACCCGCCATTTTTAGCTGTGCGCACTCCCTTGGAGCGCGCAGCACCGCGATCTGGGGCCCGCTGTGTCCTCCGGACACAGTGAAACACCGATCGTCGGACGGGACCTCTGTACAAGGTCCTGATCATGTGATCACTGATAGGCCAATCAGTGATCACATGCAAAGTAGTAAGCAAGATGTCACTTGTGACATCATTGCTTACTACGTGTGAAATCTGTGAATGATCACAGAGGTCACATGGTACAAGGCTATTCACAACAGCCTTGTATCATGTGACAAGCTGTGACCAATCACAGCTCACTCAGTATTTCTCAGTGGCTGCAAGAATGCAGACAGAGAGTAGGAGAAATGATTGCTTTTAGATCCTATATGGGTGTAAAAGCAATCACTGTAAAAAAAATTAAAAAAAAATCTTCATCACCCCCCACAAGTAGTACAGTGTCACCATGGTGACACTGTACTGCTAGGGTGACAGTATGTAAAAAAAAAAAAAAAAAAACATAAAATAATAATATAAAAAAAAAATGAAAAAAAATGTTTAAAAATTATAATTTTTGGTTATAAACTAATTTGGCTTATTTTTTTTTTGCTAAAAAGATAACGGAATGCATTTCGGCCAAGATTTATGATGAAAGATTATTTATTTGCAAAATGTTATAAGAAAAACACTTTTTCATTTACATAGCAAAAAAAATAAAAATCCCAGTTGTGAATAAATACCACCAAAATAAAGCTTTATCTGTCTCAAAAAAAATGGTAAAAAATTCATATGGGTACAGTATTGCATGACCGCGCAATTGTCATTCAAAGTGTGATAGCGCTGAAAGCTGAAAATTGGACAGGAAAGGGGTGAAAGTGTCCGGACAGGAAGTGGTTAATAAAAGAATTACAAACTCATTTAAAACAGTTTGACTCATTTGAATCCTTCATCCTAACAGCTCCATAACCATTTTGATGAATTTGTAATTGTTTTAACAAACATACAAGGTGCTGCAGATTGGAAAAGGCTCCATTCTCACTAGTGAGTTTCAAATCGCGGGCGGAATTGCCACAATTTGAAAATGCGCATTCATATGTACAGGAGCCATTCATTTTAATGGCACCTGAAAATGCAGGGTATTTTTGCCACAATCATAGTGGGTTTTTCCATGCTACAAACGTGTCACGCCCGCACAAACAAAATCTGAAGGCACTACGCCCCCAAAAAAGGTTCCAAAACAGTTTCTTCGGTGTTGTGTGTCCTGTGATTTTGTTTGCACGATTGCAGTGTGTCTTTTGTGCAGAAAAATGTCTTGAATTTTCAGGTGCCATTGAAATTATTGCACCTGAACATGCAAATTTGCATTTTCACAGTGATTTTTCAAATCACAGTGATTCCGCCCGCGATTTGAAATGCCCTAGGGTGAATGGAGCCTAGAGGTAAATTAGGCACAAACAAAAAGCTGCTGCCACAAACGCTTCATGGATAATCTGTTTACCTGGAAGAGGTAAAGAGGGACCCGTTGACTGATCCAAAACACGAAAGCCCCACAAAGACGGGGATGATCCAGGCCATGACACCCAAGTGGTAATTTCCAAAATCCTGTAAGAAATGAAGGTATTAGACACAACCCCTATCGCAAAACAAAACAGATGCAGATGAAGTTCAGTAAAACATAAAAAAATGGTGTGAAGGAGAGATGGGAAGATATACATTGGACTTGGCTCCTTTATGGGTGAAGGTTCGTGAGTATGTTAGAGGTGTCCTGTATAAAGCCTAACTCTGGGCATAACCTTTGCCCCCCACCTAGGACTGAGTCAGTAAGAGGCAACCGACTTGAACACTGCTGAAGTTAATCATAGCTCATGGGGGATGGGGGGGGGCTTTTTTTCCTTGGGTTCTGATGGACCTTGACCTGGCACTGCTCCCACCTATGCCTTTACCTAAAGCCAACCATTAATGGAAAACAAAAAAAATAAAAAAACAAGGCCAGTTCAGCAGGAAATGGTCAAATGTCAATCCATGTATAGGCACGGTGTTTGTACAGAAGTCACTCTACTGACCAACTTCTGTACAACCGCCCTGACTGTATTTTTTGCCTTGATCAGTGCCACAGGCTATAGCCTGCAATACTTATCACTGTATTCCAACCAGGATGGATAAAAATCAATGATATTTAAAAAAAAAAAAAAAAAAAAAAAAAAAAAATCGAATTTTTTTAATTTAAAATCGGATTTTTTTTATTTAAATCGGATTTTTTTGAATAAAATGCTTTTTTTAGGAAAATATATTACCATCCAAAGGTTATTCCATCATGAAATAAAGATTAGTTTTTTAATTATGTAGAATAAGGCTGTATATGTTTAATTTTTTTGGTAAATAAATTCCATGAATCCATTCACAATGTCATGCTCTTCCAATGGTTTTTGTAAGATTATTGGGCAGTTTCTCTGCCTACAAGATATTATCACAGATGTTTGGTTTACTTTTGCAGTTCTCAAAACTGAATTTGACTCAGCGGAGATCACATGCCTCTTCTTCACAGCAAAAATGTTATAACATGAACAGAGTTAAGAAAAAGACCTTCATCCTAACTTCTACAAACCTATGAATACAGAATCAACCCCTTCAGTGCTAAGTTTCAAGAAGTTCAGTGAATAGAATAGAAACAATATTTTTCTGATTGTTTGGAGTGGAATAGATCTGCACAAGGAGAAAGTGAAACTAAGTGTGAGGAGGAGGGGCTGACAGTCTAAGTTTCTTAAAATATATATATTTTGTTTAGCCAAATTAGTTACCAAACATGGATGTTTAAGCAAATCACATATGCTGGAATGTTATTGTTTCAGTTGAATAAATCTATTTAAATTGTTATTATTAAGGTAATGATTATTTTTCTCCTTCCTAAGTACAACAGAAAAGTTGTCCAAATATGAATGATTAACCTATTAAACTGGGGATAAAAAAAACTAATATGAAAAGTTGTTATTCTAAAAATCTTCATCTACTTGTATATTAAAGTTATACCAGCAAGAATTAGTCTATATAGAAAACTGGGATTTAAATCAAGCCTTACTGACTAGTGATTTAAATTGTGATTTAAATCGTGTGTTTTAAATCAGTTTGATTTAAATCAAATCCACCCTGATTCCAACAGCAGGGAAGTCTCCCCACTTTCAGAATACGACACACCAGGGAAGATTCCTCATTCACCTCAAATGTGTAGATGGGTAATCAGGTCTGGTTTTTTTTTACATTCAACCAGGGGTGGACTGACAACTCATGGGGGCCCTGGGCAATAGGAAATCATGGGGCCCTTGTGTCTTCGCCCACACTCAAACCACACCCAAAAAAGCCTATGAAAGGTACCAGGGGCATCTCATGGGGCCCCCTACTTACCCTGGGCCCTTGGGCAGTGCCCGAGTGCCTGAATGGTCAGTCCACCCCTGCATTCAACCTGCTGGTTGAACACAAAAAATAAATACATAAATAAATAAATATATAATCTGGCTCATCTATGGGCTATTTTACAAGCTTTGCCCAGCGATTGGCTAGAAAGACTTCAGGAGCCCAGAGTGTCTCTAAAAGGTCCAGAAAATTATATATTGCTGTATAGGTTGGTACTTGCATAAAATGCACATGCATATGGACACACATTCTTGGGCGCAGACATTCGTCATCCAGAGTTTGCACTCTGTCTGCACACATGTACGTGTTTAGGAAAGTACTAGCATCTACCCACATACGGCCATTGATTTCTTGGGGCACATGTTGCTTGGGTGAAATACGCCCGAATTGTAGGCTGGATGGCCCCATGAGGCTTAAACTGTTCCTATAAGCCAAGGTTGCCTTTAGTTGTTCATTAACACACCAGAGCAAGAAGTAGGAGTACAATATGAGCTTAGCTTGTAGGCCCTAGGGTATAGATATAATACACAAGGCATATTACAGAGGAGGGATTTATGAAGAACCTTCATCATTCAGAGTCAAGTCAGGGACAGTATGGTGTTAATGAAGACAAGGGTCCAATATTGAAGACAAGGGCCCAATATTTTATAAAAGCAATGATATTTAATGCAGAGTTCCATATAAACTATACATTTTTTCTGATAAGTATGAAGAGATTTTTCTTTTCCAGCCCAGGAGAATAATCTTTCTACCATAACAATACAATATATGTAGGAATGATTTAACATAACCTGGGGGTTTGCAAGTCCCAATGTGTAATTATGCTGCTCAAATTATGACTCCAACCAAAAACTGGATAAAAAATGGAAAGTCTATTAAGACAAAAAAAAAAAACCCTACAATTTTAAGCTTCAATTCTGCAGTACTTTTTTCTGCTACTAGAAGCCCCATGTCTGATGCCCAGCATAATTTATCTCTGAGGCCAGGTCATCCTGTGATTGGACAGTGAGAAGCAGCACAGTGAGCTCATCTTTCTTTAACTCTGCTCTTTCCTCCTATCAGCACACTCCTTGTCAGCACATAAATTGATTGGCTCCTTATACTGCTTCTCCATTTTTCAGTCCTTAGCAGAGCTCAAACGGACAAAGGCAGATACTAGGTTAGATTCAGGAACGTATACTGTTTGCATTTAAAGAAATACATTACATAATGTGTTAACTTCTTGTCACCCACGTAATGCCCACAAGCCGCACATATGCGTTCATGGACAGCCAAGGTTTCTATGCCAAGAGCATGCTCACAGCATAGTGACTGAGCTATCATGGACAGCTCTCAGTCTCTAGTCATGATCAGGAGCAGGTGGGACAGGCTCCTGATCATGTGACTTGACCACTGCAACAGCCAATCACAGGGTAATGTGATCAGGAAGCCCATCCAAAGAGACCCATTTAAAGGGACACCACGGTTGGGTAGAAGGGGTTTAGGATTATAAAAACAGCATTAATATGTTTCTTCTATATCTCCCTAGAGTTCAGCTTTAAGGATGTTAACTTGATAAAGGTGTGGACTCTGGACCAAAATTGTTCTAATTATCTACAGTTCCATGGAGTACTGTATGTGTACAGTCAGCCTCTTCTCTTCAGCCTGTCAAACACACGGTAGAGGTTCAGAGGCCTAACTTATGTCATTTAAGTGGAGTATAATAGACTTGGAGAACACCAAGGTGCCAGGTCAGTGTGGAATGTTACACTGGCCATCTAACTCTTCTCACCCTTTACTGTTGTCAGTGGATTAGCCGGCTCCTTCAAATTAAATATCCCCTACAAGACTGATCCAAGTCATACCCGATCTCTTCACATACCTGCCCACCCCATACATATACCAATACATCCTATACATTGACAAATTTATTTACCATCTGGACCTATTTTTCTGTAGCTACCTTTAGATTGGGTAAGGCAACCCTACTTTTTGTTCTTCTGTCATGTGACATACTGTAAATCTTTCTATATTTATTCTGTGATTTCCCTGGACTGTACATATGCTCTCTCTGTATTAACAAAGAATAAAAAAATAATAAGGACTTACCACGGCCACAGCCTCGGAAGTCAGCATCTGCTCCGGTGTAAGTGTGGTGAAGTAGGCCAGGTTGGTGAGGACATACACCAATGTTACGATAGGCAGAGAAATAATGATGGCGCGAGGTAGGTTTCTGCAGACAAGGGAAATGATACAAGTATTTTATGTAAGCAATGTATCTCCAGGATCATGTAACATAGTAATATTGGCAGACAGGTATCAGCCCTCCATAGAAGAGTCTGCCCGAAGTGCCATGTCAGTGTAGTGAAAGCTGCCAGTTCACTTACTTGTAAGGTTCTATCATTTCTTCAGTTACAAAGTTCAAGTAATTCCTGCAGCCAGAAACAGAGCGGAAGAAAACATTAGAGAAGAATTCACATTTTCAGTAAAGCAGAATCCAACCCACAGCAGCCAATCAGAACTCACATTTAATCAACAGAAGAGAACCCAACACAGAACAGCCAATCAGACCCTACAAAAGATTAACACCCGACCCACAGCAACCAATCAGAACTCACATTTATTCAACAGAAGAGAACCCAACACAGAACAGCCAATCAGACCCTTCAAAAAGATTAATACCCGACCCAGAGCAGCCAATCAGAACTCACATTTAATAAACAGAAGAGAACCCAACACAGAACAGCCAATCAAACCCTAAAAAGATTAATACCCAAGCCAGAGCAGCCAATCAGAACTCACATTTAATCAACAGAAGAGAACCCAACACAGAACAGCCAATCAGACCCTACAAAAGATTAATACCCGACCCAGAGCAGCCAATCAGAACTCACATTTAATCAACAGAAGAGAGCCCAACACAGAACAGCCAATCAGACCCTTCAAAAAGATTAATACCCGACCCTGAGCAGCCAATCAGAACGTACTTCCATTCAGTAGAACAGAAACCAACCAAGAGCAGCCAGTCAACTTCAACAATCAAAAATCCAATTCATTGCTGCATTTTGTTCCAGGAGTTACACATCCATCTGATGCAAATGGCTGTAAATTTTATCTAGAGTCCAGCGTAGCCCAGCCTTCGAGTTAATGTACTTTGCCTTTCAGCACTTCTGGCTGCAATACTCACCTCCTCTTCGGTTTTGTCCCCCACAGTTATCTCTTTTCACCACTAGATGTCCTTAGTCTTCTGGGTTTAAATGATGAACATACAAATGAAGAGACTGAGGACATACATTGAGTACAGGGTGTCATGGACCCGCCCCTGAAGGAGTGTCACCACAGCACCCTGCATTCAGTGTATAATGGTGCTGAGAGTGGTTCTTATATCATCACTTTAGTGCTGCTCTCTGCACCATTGAGGAGATGAAGAGCACACCCTATGATCACCTTGAAGACCTCTGGGGAAAGTAATTATATTTCCTGTAACCATTGTTATTTTAGATTTTAAGGAAGCTAGGTAATGGTCTGCATCCATTGTAGAGGCTACCATGTGACACAGGGACAACATAACAATACAGGATCAATAAGTGGGCACTCACCATCCGCCATATGCAAACAGCCCGCTGTATAATGCCAGGACCCATTTGCCGACATCATTACTGGTGTTATCGAAGGAGTGTTCAGGGCTCAGAGTGGAGACATCTCCTGCAGAGTAAACAGAACAGGAATCTGATTAGAGACTTGCAGCTTATATACAGGCAACTCAAATCACACAATCTTCTTCATTGTGGGAGGGGCAGAGACACAAACTACTGGGGGAAATCTCCTCATTGTGGGAGGAGCAGAGACACAAACTAAGGGGGGAATCTCACCATTGTGGGAGGAGCAGAGACACAAACTACAGGGGGGAAATCTCCTCATTGTGGGAGGGGCAGAGACACAAACTACATGAGGGAAACCTCCCTATTGTGCGTGGGGCAGAGACACAAACTACTGGGGGAAATCTCCCCATTGTGGGAGGAGCAGAGACACAAACTACTGGAGGTAAATCTCCCCATTGTTAGAGGGGCAGAGACACAAACTAAAGGGGGAAATCTCACCATTGTGGGAGGGGCAGAGACACCAACTACTGCAGGAAATCTCACCATTGTGGGAGGGGCAGAGACACCAACTACTGCAGAAAATCTCACCATTGTGGGAGGGGCAGAGACACCAACTACTGCAGAAAATCTCACCATTGTAGGAGGGGCAGAGACACCAACTACTGCAGAAAATCTCACCATTGTGGGAGGGCAGAGACACCAGTTACACTAGCCACATTTTTAGGACAATGGTTGGGGACAGAGGAACAATGCCAAAAATTGTAACTCTTCCTGTTCTTTCCAAGACTATAAAAAAAATAACTTCTGAAGTGAGGTCTACCTAAAAATCGTTTGCGTTACAGAGCTTTTTTTTTTTTTTTTTATTTTTTTTTTTTTTTTTGGCTGCAGGAAATTGTATATTTTTTTTAACCAGAAAATGTTCAGCATTCGTCTGAAAATGTTAGAGATTACAAGATCTAGCCTCAAGTTATTAAAATATACAGCGTAGTAGGACAGCTTTCCCACAACACAGAATGTCCTTGGATGACTGGGGCAGCGTGACTGGGCGATAAACCTCCAACACCTTCCAGACTAACTGCTTTCAGAGATAATGAATAATGTCATATGATTAGTTCCACCCTCCAACAGCTGCCAAGTACATAATGGGACTTGTAAATTCAAAATACAAATCGCATTATATAAAGAAGCTAAATCATTCATGAACGTAAAAGTTCAAATATTAGGTGAGCAAAAATGACCAGTTTATTTTTGTGCAGTCTATTGCTGTCACATTTCAGTTTTGAGAGGTTTCTGATTTATGGCGCATTCAAACCTCTATTTTAAAATCTGCCATCCGTCCCCAATGCTAGAGGAAGTGTGTCTTTGGTTCTTGTGGCAAAAAGTCCTTCAAAAAGTTTTAGCACAGTGTTTTAAAGGAGAAATGTATCACATTATTGTATTATTATTATACCGGATTTATATAGCGCCAACAGCTTGCTCAGCGCTTTACAATATAAAACCAACCACACGACCAACTATAACAGCCATCAGCTATTTGGTGACCCACAGAGCCCACTACTTGACGTTTGACCAGAAGGTTCATTTCTGTTCATATGAACCTTTTATGGAATTCAGGTATTTCTCTAACAAACCCATGGCTCTTCTTTAATTGGGCTGGCATTTTCATACAGAGCCATGACTGGTCCCTCCCCAAAGCTAGCGGAAATGTGTCTTGGGTTTGTGCAGTGGAAAGTGCTCAAAAAAAAAAAAAAATGATGGTGCAGTATTCAAAGTAGAGAAGAGAAGTGTCACCCGATAACCAATGATAAGATCTATCAGATGTTTGCTGACTAAGATGTTCTGAAATTTATGAAGTTGAACTTAGCTGGACCTGTCATGTCAATGGATCCTGCCACCAAGAATGTTCTACTAACTATGCTGGAGTGGAGGAAGACAAACTGCAATGAGAAGAGAGCACAGCAAGGAAATCTGTTAAAAATTTTGAAGCAGTCCCTTGCAACTGAGATGATTGGCACAAGCTCAAGAACTGGGGTCTCCAAACTTCCCAAACAAAGGGCCAGTTAAATGCTTTTTAGGCATCAGTGAGTCCACATTGTCTTAGGCTTGGTCAATAGGATTTAAAAATGTGGTCAGTAGAAGGAGGAATAGTGCCCCATCATTGGTGTCGGTGGGAGGAATGATGCCCCATCACAGGTATTACTGGCAAGAACAATGCACAGTCCTTGGTGTCAGTGGGAGGAATAGCACCCCATTGTTGGTATCAATGGTAGGATAAAGCCCCACTGTTGGTGTCAGTGAAAGGAATGGCGTCTCATCACTAGTGTCAACAGAAGGAATTGGTCCTCATGGGCTGAACAAAAGCAAGCAAAGGACCACATCTGGCCCTCAGGCTGCAGTTTGGAGACCCCTGCTCTAGAAGGAGGTCTTGACTTGCACTGTAGCAGAAATGGATACCTTCATGGAAGGGTAGATGTATCAACTGTCCATCACTGCACTAAAGCAGCCTTCTCCAACCAGGCACCCTGGGGTGGCTTCAGGCTTCTTCAGGGGTGCCTTGGCAACATGCCCAAAAATTGTATGAAAGCCAGCAGGTGGATCAAGCCTGCCTTTTAGTTACACAAAGCCACAGGCATTCATTCTGTACTCTTTATGACCTTCTAGCTGCCAGCATCCTAACACCCAAACATGTCATCATTTGATAAGGAGGATGTTGAGTGTCTGCACAGCATCCTTTTTTTCCCCTCCCCATCATTCCTGGGGGTCACATAGGTGGAGTGAGAAAAACTGAGGGAGAAACATTGGAATTCTAGTCAGTACTAGTGTGCAAAGGTATTTTTGCTTATGAAGAATAAATCACCTCTAACATTGGGTGTACAACTTCTGTATGTTGCTGAATTGTGTAAAACTAGTAGTTGTACAGTAGCAAACTGTAATAGTTTACATTTTAGAATTGGGTGCCTGGAGATTGTGCAGAATTTTAAAGAATGCCTTGGGATTGCTTAAAATTTTAAAGGGTGCCCTGACTGAAAAAAAAGGTTGAGTAACATTGCACTAAAGGACAAAAGCACAACTTGCTTTTACAGTCCCTTCCAGAAGCTCCTAGTCATTTTGCCATGATAAAAAAAAAAACAAAAAAAACCCAAAAAAACAAAAACAACATGTGCTCAACTAGTTCACATAGGGGTGTATTTAAAAGAAAATTGCAGATCTAATCATCCTGTGAAACTGCATGTACACTAAATGGAGATGACAATCATAATAATAAATAATTATTTTCCTATGATCATCAGCTCCATCTAGTGGCCATAATGCATTTTCTTCCTGATTCACTCTATTCTGTATAAACATCCATCTTGTATAGAAAATAGCCTAACATTCAATTTTGCCCCAATTCACACAGAACAAATGTAGATGTAGTAGTTTCATAGGAAAAATAGCGCTCTAAATATATATCTATATATATATATATATATATCTATATATATAATATCTCTATCTGTATATATATATATATATATATATATTATATATATATATATTTTTTTTTTTTTTTTTTTTTTTAAATACACCCCTTAGAGTTTCAAAAGACAGTTTCATGTAGTTATGGACATTTCCAACCATTACCATCCACAAAGTGGAGATGCTACAAAAAGACACACTGGTGTGTTTCAAAAGAAATCCAATTCTTTCAGCTACTACATGTGTTAACCTTTGGGAGCTAACGCACAAAATTTCCACAAGATGGTACCTAACTCCTTACCAAATGGCCAAATTTTCAGAACAACATAGTCCTCAATGCTGGAGAAACTGCGGTCAGATTGGTACTCTATTACATATTATGGACATGTAAAAATATTAGAAGCTATTGGTATAAAGTTTTCCACATGATTTTGGAAATTACTGAGATATTAAAACAACCAGATCCTACTCTAGCCATTCTGAATATAAATATAGATATATATCCAATCCATTATTGACTCTAAGCGACACATAATTCTTCTAGTATGAAGACTTACCATTACTAGACACTGGAAAAAAAAACTTAGCCCTGTCTCTAAAAGAAGTCATTGAGCTAGTCCAGACCCACGTCATCTATGAGAAATCTTTAGCTTACCTAAACGATAGAATTACCAAACTTGACAAAGCTTGGAAATCCCGGTCTGGCTGGTTGAGAACTGTAACCTAAGATATTATTATTATTTAACCTTTTTCTTGGATACTCCAAAATGATTATTTCGTGGAACTAGTAGGATTGCTAGGAATTCTTCAATATTTCCTTTTTTCTCTTTGTTAAACTTTATCACAGTATAGGTGCTGTTTTATTGTGTAGCTTTTCACTGTCCTATTTGTGTTTTATAGTTGTAACTATATTTGTAAAACCAAATAAAAATGTATGTTGAATAAAAAAAAAATCCAATTCCATCATGATAGTAAAATAAGTTAGAAAGTGAAAAGTAACTATAAGAAGCATTACTAAGTCTCCTTTCTCCCAGGGTGGAAAATACAGAGAGGAGAGCAATAGAAAGACTCCTAGGAGGTTATAAGGAGATGTACTTCTAAAGCAGCCGCAGACAGACATCCATGGAGCAGAGAGGAACAGACAGATTTTCCTTTAATTGAGGGTAGCTGGAGTCAGGGGGTAATAGATGCATTCCTTGACTGTGTGGAATAACTCCGGTGCGGCTCAAACCGGTAAGAATCTGAAACATTTGATGGATGCCTTTCAGGCCATGTGAAGCTTCTCAGCCTAATCTACGCCATGGATTGTCACATGACAGGCAACCCAGTTAGGCTCACCCCCTAAGGCGAGACAATTCCTTCTTCCAGTAGCTATTAACCCTTTTATATCCAGACATTCCTGTAATCGACAATTTCAAAATCCTTATAAAAAGTACAGTATAAGACATGCTCAGATTCAGTACGAGGGTCTCCATTGCTGAGCACACTCAGTAAGACCTTCTGGTGCTGTAAGACTCAATGTGCTTCATTAAATGTTCTTAATCTTCTTCAACACTTACCCCAACATGCACCGGACCCCTTTCTTACATCAACCCCTAAAGCAAACCGTCACATTCTGCAAATTTCCATCCAATTCCTTTAATTTGGGAAACCAGT